CATATTAAAAATAAATGGAAAAAATATTCTCAGGTGAGGATTAACAACAACAAAAAAGATATAAAATTTCAATTTCAATTACTACAAATAAATAATAAAAAAGAACATACAATCAGCCTTGGCAGGTGTGGCTCAGGTGGTTGGGCATCGTCTAGTGCACCAAAAGGTTGCTGGTTGGTTGCATGCCCAGCTCTGGTAGGGGGCATGCAGGAGGCAGTTGATCAATGTTGTGCTCTCACATCAGTCTCTTCCCCTCTCTCTAAAAAACATATACAATCAAATGACTTGCTTTAAAGTAACTTTTAGAATGTTTCCTTTCTGGTTAAGCCACTAGTTTGAATTACATGAGGCTCCTTGATTACTTTTACATTTAATTTTGGTGAATTTCTTTTTTAAAATTTAATTTTATTTCATCATTGTGTAAATTATTACATAGTTTCTAAAACAAATCTACAAATCAAAGTAATGTTTAAAGAATTTTATCCATGTTTCTTCAACTAACCCACTCACCCATCTACACTAATAAAAGAGAAACATGGTAATTGGCGTACGACCGCTACCCTTCCCATTGGCTAATCAGGGCAATATGCAAATTAACTGTCAGCCAAGATGGTGGCCGGTAGCCAGGCAGCTTGAAACTAACATGAGGCTTGCTTGCTTCAGTGACGGAGGACTCCAACGTTCCCCGCCTGCCGCTGCAGGCCTCTGAACCTGCAGTTTAAACATTGTAACAAACATAGAAGCTAAACAAAACCCCAGAAACCTGCCGGCTTCAGCCAGTAGGATCGCAATATTGTAGCAAAGGCCAGAAACCTACTTTCAGCAGCGGAGGCCTAAGAGCTGGAGCCAAGCCTCAAAGCTAAAGCTGGCCCAGAAAAAAAGAAAAAAAAGAAAAAAAGGAGCGGTTGGGAGCTTCAGTCACCCCCAGCCTGAAAACAGCCCTCAGCCCCTCACCCAGACTGGCCAGGCACCCCAGTGGGGACCCCCACCCTGATCCAGGACACCCTTCAGGGCAAACCAGCCGGCCCCACCCATGCACCAGGCCTCTATTCTATATAGTAAAAGGGTAATATGCCTCCCAGCACCGGGATCAGCGGAGCCGCGAGGCCTCCCGGCACCGGGATCAGCGTGACAGGGGGCAGCACCCAAACCCCCTGATCGCCCTGCGGCTCTGTGTGTGACAGGGTGTGGCGCCCCAACCCCCTGATGGGCCCTGCTCTGTGCGTGACAGGGGGCTGCGCCCCAATCCCCTGATTGGCCCTGCTCTGTGCGGGACAGGGTACAGAGCCCCAACCCCCCTGAAGGGCCCTGCTCTGTGAGTGACAGGGGGAAATGCCCCAACCCCCTGATTGGCCCTGCTCTGTGAATGACGGGGTGGCGCCGCAACCTCCCCATCGACCCTGCCTTGAGTGTGACAGGGGGTGGTGCCCCAACCCCCCAATCAGCCCTGCTCTGTGTATGACAGGGGGCAGCGCCCCAACTCCCCAATCGGCCCTGCTCTGAGCCCGACCAGGGGCTGCACCTAGGGATTGGGCCTGCCCTCTGCCACCCGGGAGCAGGCCAAAGCCAGCAGGTTGTTATCTCCCGAGGGGTCCCAGACTGCGAGAGGGCACAGGCTGGACTGAGGGGCCCCCCTCCCCCCCGAGTGCACAAATTTTTGTGCACCGGGCCTCTAGTCCTATATAATAAAAGCATAGTATGCAAATTGTCCCCTCAACTGGGAGTTGTCTGGGAGTTTGATCAGGGGGTGGAGCTGGCGGGGGGGGGGGGGGGGCAGAAAGCCCTGGCTGCAGCAGCAGCAGGTGGCCAGGGGAAGGGAGGGAGTACCTGGGCAGCAGCTGGCAGCCACTAGGGCCTCTAGTATGTAGTAAAAAGTGTTACCTTGGCTAGTGTGTCTCAGTGTTTACAGTGCTGGCGTGTGCACTGAAGGTTCCATTCCTAGTCAAGGGCACATGCCTTAGTTGTGGGTTTGCTTCCTACCCCCGTTCTGGGAATGCAAAAGGCAACCAGTTAGTGTGTCTCTCACATCAGTGTCTCTCTCCCTTTCTCTCCTCTCTGCCTCCTTCTCACTGTTTTCTCCCTCCCCCCTCTTTTCTACTCTCTCTGAAAAGCAATGGAAAAAAATGTCCTTGGATGAGGATTAACAACAAAAAACAAACAAATGTTATGATTTACTCAAGCATATATTTTTCTATCTTCCTTTCTAGTGAAATAATAGCATTCTATAAACATATTTAATATATAATATTTTTCCTATATTTCATATCTATGATAAATTTTAATTTAGAAAATAGTTATAGTAAGATATTAACAACAATAACTAATAAAATAGAACAATTTAACAATACACTATAATAAAAGTTATGGCAACATGGTCTCTATTCATGTCTTCCATGCAAAATTTAATACCTTTTCCATCTTAACATAGTACATCATGTACTGTGGCTATAAATTTTATAGTTTGAGGTGCTATAGCAAAACTAACATGAATTTCATTTTCCTTCACAATTTCATGGATGAAAATTCATTCTTACTAGATTTTAGCAGCCTCAGTATACAATTGTTTATTAAGTCAAGAACTTTTACCTTTTCACTTAAAGGAAGCACTTTACGGCTTCTCTTTGGTATATCTGAATTGCGAACATCATTATTGCTCTTTGGGACCATTAAGTAAAATAAGGGTTACTTGAACACAAGTAACTGTTTGTAAACTATTTGTTAGACTTCTGTTCCATTTTTTTTCTATTGATTCTTGACCTTTCTTCATTTTTAGATGATATAAATTAATGCTATCTAACCCTTTGTGATAGAGTAGTAAGTTGCTACCTCCCATCCTCATCCCCAAAGACAAGTTTATTACTCATCTTTAAACTTCACTCTGAGCTTTGCTTTGAACTTTGCATACCACCTTACTCTGAGGTATAGGAGTTTGGGAAAAACTGGTGGGTAGAGAATTGGGTAATAAGAGTCACAGTAGTTTTTATGGAGATCAGAGACTTGATCATAATGGGTAACAGGGAGGTTTGATTTCCAGTGGTAGTTAATGTAAACAGGAATATAAGGTGGAATGGATTTAGTCCATATCATTGTTAATGGGTGTTGGTGATTTTTTTTTTGGTTACAATTTGTTAAGTAGAACCTCAGGATGTCATCAGATGGTGAGCCAAGGTTCAATAAAAGACTGAAGGGGAAGTGAAATAGAGAAGTTTATTACTGACAGGTCCCGGAGGAGGTACACAGTATTCCTCGAGGATACACATGGAGAAGCCAATGCAGGGGTGCAGAGAGAGTGAGCAGCAGGACCTGGGCAGATGCCTTTATTAGGGTCTGTGGGTGGAGTGCTTTGGGGTTCCTAGGCTAAGGCTGGATTGGTCAGTTCAAACCAAAAAGAGTGGGTTTTTTATAATCTCTAATGGGAATGGGGTCTTATCTAAGGGGAACTAAAGGGGAGGGAGCTGGGAGGCAGGGGATACTTTATCACGAGGGGTTTTGGGGGAGTCGTATCAATCGCATGTATATATTTACTTGTGATTCTTGAGGGCTATTATCTAGGGCATGTACTTGCTTAGAGGAGCTACTGTCAGTTCAAGAGCCCTTCAGGCCTGTTACCAAGGCAGCAATATTATGGAATAGTTTAAATTCTCAACAAGGGTTGGGGAGCTTGGGCAGACTTAAGGTTCTAAAGATGTAATGTGATAAATTTGTGGTTCAGGAGCTTTAAGCAACTTAGCACCACCTGTTACAGTGTGCCTCTGATGTCAATTGCTTGGTGGCTCCTTTAGTGGACCTCAATGGACGGGCTGCTCAGGAGGGAGTAGTTCACATCTGGCTGACAGGGATTTCTGCTATGGCTTTACAAGTGTCAGACTATCATCAGAATGGCCCATTTTTTTTTTTTTATTCAATTGGGTTTTTCTATTACAAAGAACTATAACTCTGCCTTTCTATAGAATATGTGTTTAATAAATATTGGTTGTTTTTGTTCTTATTTCAGGCTACAGACAAGAGAAAAGCTTTAGAAGAGACCAAAGCCTATACAACCCAATCCCTAGCTAGTGTTGCTTATCAAATAAATGCATTGGCCAACAATGTACTCCAATTGCTGGACATCCAAGCCTCTCAGCTTCGGAGAATGGAGTCTTCCATCAATCATATCTCACAGGTAACATCTTATAAATAGCTTTAAGCAACCGGCAGCATATGTCAAAGGAATAGATAGCCTGGATATATGGATTCCTTACTCATTTTCTTACCGACTTACTATAGTTATTATCACTTTCAGTTTTAGCTTTGAGGTCAGTAAACCAACTCTTCTTTTTAAAAAGTTTTTGTTTGTGTGGTAAAATATACACAACATAAAATTTATCATTTCAACCATTTTTAAGTGTATAGTTCATTAGCATTAGGTATATTCACATTGTTGGGCAACCATCACCACTTACCCTATTTCTCTTATAAGATCTTTCTTGAAGTAAAGTAAATTGCACACAATTAAAGCACAGTTTTATAAAATTTGATACTTACATTATCCATGAGACCATCAGTACATTCAAGATAATGAACATCCTCCCCAAATTTCTTCATACTCCTTTGTTATCCCTCTTCATTTCCTATACCCTGTCCTCATGCTTTCTGTCACTATGGATTAGTTTACATTTTCTGAAATTTTATATAAATAAAATCAAATATTATATACTATTTGTTTGTCAGGCTACTTTCAATCAGCATAATTATTTTGAGATTCATTCATATTGTATATAAAAATAGTTCACTCCTTTGTAATGCTGAGTACGATTCCATTGTTCCACATTTTGTTTATCCATTTATGGTTCTTTTTTATTTTGGAATATATTTTATTTTTATTTTTTTAAAATTTTTGCTTGTGCCATGCACTTTTTTTCTTTTTCTTTTTCAAATCATTTTAATAACGTGGCAGTCAAAATACGAAAAGCAGACTCAAACTTGTTTTTTTTAAGGGGGGGGGTGCTACAATGATTGCTTCCCACAAGCATGATCTAAGGTAATGATGACACTGATTCCAAGGAGCAAGGGTGGTAAGAAGGCCTCAAGGCTCACAGACTGAAAAGCTTGGTTTCGGAAAAGTCTCAAGGGGTCCCAGGTGGCAGGAGAGACATGAAATTTAAGGGACCTTCACAGTACAGGGCGCGGCTGCTGGGTCATCAGTACCTTGAAACGTTTCTTGATGGTCACTCTGTGTTGAGAGTATTTGTCGTCTGGGGAGAACCGAGCAGGATGGGCCGAGCAGGTCTGTTGTCCAGTAGGATCAAACTTCTTCAGGGTATAAACCCGGTCTCCCTGTTCATTGAGGTAAGAGTGGAGAAACATCTCGCTGAAGCAGGAGGTCCCAATTCCGTCTGCACTTCTCGGTCTCCTGAGGGCCTCACGTGGTCGCCTGCCATGCACTTTTTAAAAAATATATATTTTTATTGATTTCAGAGAGGAAGGGAGAGAGAGGGAGAGATAGAAACATCAATGATGAGAGAGAATCATTGATCGGCTGCCTGCTGCACGCCCCTCACTGGGGATCGAGCCCACAACCCAGGCATGTGTCCCTGACCTGAATCAAACCTAGGACCCTTCTGTCCGCAGGCTGAAGCTCTATCCACTGAGCCAAACTGGCTAGGGCTGGAATATATATATATATATATTTTTTCAACTTAAAAATTAGCCTGCTATATTTGATCAAACATTTAATTAACTCACCCCTAATGCCTTGGCAGGGCCAGACCAAGTAAATGATTTTGTGGACCTGGTACGGCCCACCCGGGATAGACGAACAGAGACAAAGCGCATGGAAGCCAGAGCTGCAGAGTGTGGAGTGGGGAGGGCGAGGCTGGCACTCAGGAGCTGGGGTCCTTTTTCCTCCTCTGGAATCGCTGGAACTTGCCCTGAATGGCCAGGGCAGCCTTCTCTGTCTCCGGCGCTGTCAGGTCGATGTCCACCTCCTCCTCCCCCCCCTCGGCCTTCTTGGCATTGCAAGCTTCCCCCTTTTCCTCTGGGCCAGGTGCCTGGTTGGCTGCTGGGGATGTTTTGGTGTTAAGCTCGCTCATCTCGGCGGCTGGACAAAAGGGCGGACTGAGGGAGCGGGCGGCAGGTGCAGCGCGGCGTGGGCCTGGGGCGATGGCGGCGGGGCTGCGGGCTGGGCACGGCTGCCCGGGAGGCGAGGAGCGTCAGTGCGGGGCCTCCGCTCCTCGCCCGCTCGCTCCCCGCCGGACCCGCCGCCTGGGTCAGCGGCCAGGTCGCAGCCCGTCTGTACCCTCCCCTGGAATATATTTTTATTGACTTCAGTAAGGAAGGGAAAGGGAGAGAGAAATAGAAACATCAATAATGAGAGAAAATCATAGATTGGCTGCCTCCTACAAGCCCCCTACTGCTAGGGATGGCTCACCACTGGGGCCTGTGCTCTGATTGGGAATTGAACAATGACCTCCTGGTTCATAGGTCGATGCTTAATCACTGAGCAACCCAGGCCGCGCTATCTGTTTACATGTTGATGGACATCTGGATTGTTTTCAGGTTTTGCCTATTACAAATAAAACTGTGAATATGTGTACAAGTCTTTATATGGTCTTGTGTTTTTATTTCTCTTGGGTAAATTAGCTTCCTCTGAGTGGAATGGCTAGGCCACATGGTAGATGCTTGTTTAACATTATAACCAGATTTATAGCCAAATTGTTTTCCAAAATGATTATACCATTTTACCTTCCCATCAACACTAATGAGAGTTTTAATTGCTTCACATTCTCACCAGTGCTTGCTCTGGTCAATTTTTAAAATTTTAGCCATTCCAATAGTTATGTAGTAGTGTCTTACTGTAGTTTTAATCTCCCTTTCCCTAGTGATTAATGATGTCGAATATCTTTTCATGTGGTTTCTGTAGATTTCAATATTTAAGCCTTGCATTTCTTTGTCACATTTATTCCAAAGTATATCATATTTGTCACGCTCTTTGGTATTTATTTTAAATCTTAACTTGAGTTTTTTCTTGCTTATATATACAGAAATACAATTGATATTGATAAACTGTGTGCTTGTTAAAGTCACTTACTAGTTATAATATTTATTATATAGATTCCATTGTATTTTCTACATAGAATATCATGTTTATAAATAAAAAGTTTTACTTCTTTCCATTTTATATTTTTCTCGCTTTTTACTTTTATTTTTGTTTTACTGCACTAGTTTGAAGCTTCAAGACCATGTTGAAATAGGAGTAGTGAAAGTGGTCATTGTTACCTTGTTGCTATTTTAGTAGAAAGCAGTCTTTTACTATAAAGTATGATTGTAGTCTATATGTTTTTCAGAAATATGCTGTATGAAGTTGTTTTCTTGTGCTAGTTTGCTGAGAGTTCTTGTCAAAAATGGGTAATGGATTTTATAAAAAACTTTTTATTTGTCTGTTGAAATGATCATGTATATATTTTTTGGTCTGTTAATATGGTGAATTACATTTTTTTTTCTTTTAAATGTTAAACTGCCCTTGCTTTCCTGGGATAAACTACTTGATTGTGACGTATTATCCATTTTATAGATTTTTAGACTTATTTTGCTAAAATTTTGTTAAAAATTTTGTTTCTATGCACCTGAGAGTCTGTAGTTTTCTTATAATATCTGGTTTTGGTGTCAGTATAAATGTGGTCTTACACCAGGGAAGCTCCTGCCGGGTTGGCGCTGGCGCGCATAGGCATCTGGGAGCCTGGGTTGGGGCGGCGCCCGCTTGTGGAAGCCAGCAGCGGGGCCTGGAGCTTCCTCTGCGTCGCCATGGTGATGCAGGGAAAGCTCCTGCCCTACTGGAGTGTGTGTGCGGTCACCGGTGGAGGTTCTCGCTCTGCAGCCGCTTGCGTGCCCGCCGGCACCAAAAAGCCTGTGTCCCTGGGATAGGCATCCTGGGAGCCAGGCCACCCTGAGCCTGTAGGTCTGTGCCTAGGCCTGGAGCAGCTGGGGTCCCGGAACGTGACAGAGGGTGCACGTCAGGCTGAGGGGACTCTCCCCCCATTCTCCCCCTCACCTCCCACCCCCCCCCCATGAATTTCGTGCACCGGGCCCCTAGTCTTTTTAATAAGAGACACTCATGAAATATTAAAAATTATTCTTAGAAAGGAATAGTAGGTTGGGGAATAAGTACAATTCATGACCTGATATTTAAAAGATAAATTGTGATTTAATGTTCTCTTAAAACTTCATATTTACCTTAGATCCTACTTTGGATAAAAAATGGTTATACGTAAATTAAGCACAAATTTTTTTTTTTTTGAGATGTATGTATAGTTATCTGGAGTATTCTTATATTCTTAAGAGGTGACAGAAAAGTGTCATTGGATGGTACTAAGAAATTTCATATGGGTCAAAGTCACAGATCCAATTTTTCCCAGTATTAAATATATATTTCAGAATATATATATACACTGATACCAGTGTTTTATATTATGTATTCCACCAAAGTCTTATTTTGTAGCTCATCTTTTCTAAATAGAACTATTTTGTAGTGTTTATATAGGTCATTCTGAATCAAGTTAACTTCACAGTTGATTGGGACCTTGTTTCAAGCTTATTGAACAAAGCTCTGTAACTCCACATTGTGGGCACAGGGCCATTTCCAGAGCCTGGTCCAAATAAGCAGTAACAGACGAAGATTGTCTCTTTCTTGGCTAAAGGCTTTCTCTGTTTGGCTTGTCTCAGGACTCTTACACTTTTTCTACTTGTTTCATACTCCTCTCCTTTTTCTATTCAGGGCAGAAGTGTTTCAGTTTTTATTCTGTAGTTCTTATTTTAGCAAACATTTATTGCGCTTTTAAACTCATATAAAGTTCTTTGCTTGAAACCTATAATTCCTGCTCTGAATTGGCAGAGGCATTTGTGAGGCTAGTCAGCCTTCCAATATGATACAGAAAATATGTGCAATATTAAATAGTTTTGCTATGTCATACTTCTTTCTTGCCTGCTTTTTTTGTCTTTTGATAATTAAGAAAGGATTTTTCTGGAGGATTTTAAAAAGAAGAATGCCCCCTCTCCCCACCCCCAGATTGATAAGGGAAAAGAGAGCATAATTAAAATAACATTTTTGTACAGTAGTTTTAAATAACCATATCTTAAAAGATAACTTGAAAATATTATCTCTTTATGAGATTTAACTTTTTAACATTTGTTTTAAGAACATATATTTCTTTTTTTAAAAAAATATTTTATTGATTTTTTTACAGAGAGGAAGGGAATGGGATAGAGAGTTAGAAAATCAATCAGCTGCCTCCTGCACACCTCCCACCGGGGTGCGCCCTCAACCAAGGTACATGCCCCTGGCCGGAATTGAACCCGGGACCGTTCAGTCTGCAGGCCGATGCTCTATCCACTGAGCCAAATTGGTTAGGGTGGAACATATATTTCTTAATAGAATAACTTGGAATATTTTAATTATTCCTCTAGAACCTTATTCAGTTTCTAATTTCATTTTGAAAATGGCTGCTCTGTCCTTAAAAAGAAATTGTGAGTTTGGTTTTCAATTTTCTTAGTCTTTCTTTAATAACTCTTTTATTGATTTTTTTTTTAAAAAGTCATGTGTGATACTGCCAGTCTTTTTTTAAAAAAAATATTTTTCTTTATTGATTTCAGAGAGGAAGGGAGAGGGGAGAGAGAGAAACATCAATGATGAGAGAGAATCATTGATCGGCTGCCTCCTGCACGCCCCCTACTGGGGATTGACCCCGCAGCCCATGCCTGTGCCCTTGGCTGGAATCGAACCTGGGACCTTTCACTCTGCAGGCTGACGCTCTATCCACTGAGCCAAGCCGGCTAGGGCTCTTTTATTGATTTTTTATCATGCCTGTATACCATAGACAGAGAGAGAGAGAGGGAGAGAGAGAGAGGGAGGGGGGGAGAGAATGGAAAAAACATTAATTTGTTGCTTCACTTATTTATGCATTCATTGGTTGCTTCTTGTATGTGGCCTGACTGGGGATCGATCCTGTAACCTTGGCATATCAGGGTGCCGTAACCAATTGAGCTTTCTGGCCAGGGTTATCTTTAATAACTTCTTTTAAAAAATCTTAATTGTTCAGAGTATTACAGATGCCCCCCCCCCCATTGTCCCCCTCCACCTGTTCCGTTCCTCCCCAGGACTTCACCACCCTATTGTCTGTGTACATAGGTAATGCATATATACATGTAAGTTCTTTGTTTACCCCCTCCCCCCAATTGGGAGGCATTGTAGATCAGTTTGGGAAGACTTGGCACCAGTAATACTACATTGGATGGGAGTGGGGCAATGAGAGAGATGTATGGTTGTGAGTAGGTAGCGGTGTGTTGTACCTGGCTATGGAAGCCACATAATTTTTTTTAGGCTAATCTTTCAGATTCCCATTTCATTTTTCCCCCCAATTTCTTCCCTTATTTATTATTGGATGGGGGAAGAATTTCATTTTATTGTCATTTGATGTTTGGGCTCTAAACAGAAACACTGTCCTATATTAAGCCTAGTTTTTGGATTTTGTGAGCTTTGAAATATGTATAAGGTCTTCAGGAATATACCCGCGCCATAAAAGGTGATTCCCCCTAAACATGTTCATTTTATCCATTACTTCCAGATTTATCTCATATACATTCTCTTTTGACTTTATCACCTCTCCTTTAGTTGCTGCTGAATCAGCAAGTATGATCTTCATTGATCAGATTTTGCCTTTGGGTTTCTATCTTTTCTTTAGTTTGTCTTACCTTGGAATTATTGAGTTTCAAGTTTCTAGAACCTTAATGCTCAGTAGATTGGCTCTGAGGAGACCTCCAAAATGCTATTATTGCTAGTGGCAAAAATGGAGATTTAAACATAATGCACATTTTAAAAAAATTTATTTTTAAAAATAAAAATTATATATACTTAAGATGTACAATATCATGATTTAATATACATTACATAGTGAAATAACTACTGTAAAACTAATGAACATATCTTCTTATATAGTTAACTTTTTGGTGATGAGACCACCTGAAATTTACTCTCTCAGCAAATTTTTGCTATATTAAATACTGGTCATCATGCTGTACATTAGATCTTTAGACTTACTCATCCTCCATAACTGCAA